GTCGAGCATCTGCGACAGCTTGCGCATCATGGGGATGTCGAAGGAGGGCAGCTGCTTGCGCACGCTCTCCAGGATGTCAGGCGCGAACCGACTCCCCAGGAAGATGCGCTCGGCCTGGCAGATCCGGCGCACAAACTCGAGCGCTTCGGCGTCGTCGATGGGTCGGTTGGCTTCTTCTTCTTCGCCCCTCGCTTCGTGCAGCATGCGCATGAGCATGCGCATGGCGTCGTTGGAGAAGTTGATCGTCAGCGACACCAGATTCTCGATGGCCTGCTCGCACTCGTGCGGCACGACCTGCTTGAAGCGCAGGGCCTCGCTCGGCCGGCGGAACGACGCCCCGCCGTTGGCCAGGTGCTGGGCCAAGGGGATGATGGCGCGGCTGCCGAGGGGGATGGCATGCTGGAGCATCTTCCACACGATCCACTTGCGCCGCGCCTCGAAGCTGGGCTTCCCGACGAAGAACTTGAACTCGATGCGCCGGCGGAAGGCCTCGTCCATCATGTCGAAGCGGTTGGTCGACCCAAACAACACCAAGTTACTCACATTCTGGTTGCCTGTAAGTGCGTGTGTGTCGTGTGTCGTGTGGGAGGTGTATGAGCCACTGGGCGTTGCAGGTAGGAAAGGGGTCGCAGGAGAGGAGATCAGTACCGCCAACCATGCTAAGAATCTTGCTGAGCAAGTCGACCTTGCCGCCCGAGGCGTTGGCGTCACGCGTTGGAGCGAGGCCGTCAATCTCGTCGATAGCAAGTGCGCAGAACTGCCACGGTATCTGTCGGGGAGGCGAGTAAGAATGTGCGTGCATGCACAAATCAGCCAGAAGAGAGCATCAGAGCGGAAGCAGAGTACGTACGATGCGTGCGCGCTCGCCGACATGCTCCACCATGCGCTCGCTCTCGCCCATGAGCGGTTTGTTGAAGTCGCCCGAGGCCAGCGGGGCGGCCACCAGCTGCACATCCAGGTATTCGCACAGCAATTCAACGATCGTGGTCTTGCCCGTGCCCGGCGGTCCATACAGCAGCACACCTGCGTGAACCAGGCCAAGTAGTCATTAACCACCAGGCCAGGTACACACCACTACCGGCTACCATGCACTGGCTGTGTGTGTGTGGTACCGTGCGGAATGTTGTAGTCGAGCGAGGAGAAGAGATTGAAGAACTTGTTCATCCGGCGCGTGAGGTCCTCCACTCCGATGAGCTGCTCCGTGATCTTGGCCAGTCCCCTGGCGATGGTCCGTTTCGACACGAACTGGAACGTGCGCCTGGTCGGGCTGGCCAGCCAGAGCACGTACCGGTGGAACCGCTTCAGCAGCCGCTTCTCATCGTCGAGCTCCTTCTGCGGCCGCCCGCCGCCGTCGCCGTCATCCCCCTTTATGACCTTGACGTCAGTGATCGTGTACTCCGACGCCAGCTTCCTGGCATCGTCGTCGATGTCGACCGGCGCATCTTTGTTCCGCTTCAGCAGCTCGATGTCATCGTGGAGTCGCTGCACGGCGTTGCGGGGCGACAGCCGGATGGTGACCGACTCGGGCAGGTAGTAGTACACGAACGGCTCGCGGAAGCTGGGCGTCTGCTCGCGGCCCGCCGCTGTGGAGGTCTGCGCAACCTTCTCCTGCACAACGAGCCGACGGTCGAACAGCTCCTTGGCGTGGCTGGCCAGCACGAGGCCGATCTGG